TGTCCGTTACCTGCTCTCACCCCCCCCCCCTCCCCGCCTGTTATCACCGTTACCGGCCCCGTGCCCCTCCCCCCCACCCCGTTATCCCGTTAACAGTAGCGTGTTTGCAGGTGAAGGCGACTTGCCCCACAGTCGCTGCGGGGGAAAGAGGCCGAGCGGGAGGCGAGACCAGGTTTCAGGCACATGCGGAGGGGGAAGAATCGTTCCCCGGAACCGCTGCGGCTGGGAGCAGAAGCAACGGGGTTAAATGGCAGCCGGGGCGGTGCAGGTCGGACAGGTGGAAACACGTCCCTACTGTCAGGGGGGTTCAGCGCTGGGGTAAATTGCCCAGGGAGGTTGTGGAGTCTCCATCATTGGGGATGTTTAAGAGCCAGATGAACACCTCTCAGGGATGGTCTAGATAATACTTAACCCTGCCTTGAGTGCCGGGGACTGGACTAGATGACCTCTCGAGGTCCCTTCCAGGCCTACGATTCTATGAAAGCCGGGGGCCTCCCGCTCGCTGTCTGGGGTACGGTGTCTCCCAGCTGCTGACAGGACCCTGGGCTGGGCCCTGACTGACTTTCCCTGTCCCCAGTGCGGGGTGAGGGGTTTCCTCCCCTCCCGGGCTGCGCTGTGCATTGCCGGGTCCCTGCTCCCTTAGGCAGTGCCCAGAGAAGCCACCGCCTCTCTCCCCCTCCTGCATTAACCCCTCACATGCTGACCACTGCTTGTGCTGAAGAGAGCCCATAACACAGGACAGACCGTCACCATGAGGGGTCTTTCCCCCCCCGGTGCTGAGCTGGGTCCCGGGGGTCGTTATTTGCCAGGGACAGGACATGGGAATTTGTTGACTCTTTTGGCTCCTCCATCCCCTCCCCTCTCCTGTTAAAGCAGCGTTGGCCTGGGCCTGTGTGAATGGATGGCACGGGGGCGGGGGGAGGTGACAGAACGTAGCCCTGTGCCCACACCCTACACCTGATTGCAATATTCATGGTACAAATTATGCCTTGTGAGGGACCATTGGAAAACTCATAATTTGCTGGTCATCATTCTGATAAAAATGTGTGGCAACGTCCAAACCCCCAATCCCTGCCCAAACGGTGGTTGGCAAATTGCCCTGAGTCCTTGCCCCAGATGTGGGGAGCAGCGGTGGTGGGAAAGGGTGGATCCCCCATTATATGTTTTAAAGGATTTTGGCTCCTCCCTCCTATACCACATTTCTGGTCTCATTGACTCCAGTGTCTGGATAAGGCGTGACTCTGGATTAACATGAGGGAGGTGGTGTCATTAGTTACTGTCACCGGGGGCGCTGGCTGTTGCTGACGGATGGGAGGCTGCTCTCTCTCACTTTCCACTCAGGGTGTCGGGTTTGAGTTTCTTGGGTCACACGCTGCTGCCTCCAGTGCGATCTGGGAACGCTGGGCCAAGCAGCTCCTCTGCCCCAGCAGGGTCTGTGCCAGGGAGAGACCTTCGTTAAAGCGCCTTCTGTGCCCAGCCAAGGGTAGAGACTTTCTCCAGTGGCTGGAACTAGCCCCCTACAGTCGCCCCGGGCTCTGCCAACACCAACTGCTGAGGCAGAGACCTCAGGGAAAGTGCTGGGGTTGGGCAGGGAAGTGACTCTGCACAAATGTCCCGGGAGCCTCGGATTTCACAGTCCCTGGGTATGGTTGTGAATGTCCCTGAGGGAGGGCTGGGAGCTGCCTGTACAGCAGTGAAGCGGCTGCCCTCAGCTCCTGCCAGGATCTGCCCAGGGAGCAAACTGGGGGATTCAGGAGGGGAAGAGACTGGGCCCCAGTGGGGTTTGCCCTTTGTGTGTCTGGAGGGTGGAGGTGTCAGGAAGGGAAAGGGGGGAAGACTTGCACTGTATTGACCTCAGTACATCGACCATGGCTCAGCGTTGCTTGGGGAAGGGGTGTTACCGTGTTGGCATAATGGACAGTTTACATTGGTGGGAGAGAAATTTAAGTGCAGAGACACGCGCAACTAAGTCAATGCCATGCAGCTTACGTTGATCTAATGTAGATGAGGTCTTTATAATGTAGAGTAGGCCTGGGAGGCTTTAATCCTGGTGGGAAGACCTACCGCTAATAAAATCACTGTGGGAGAGCCTAGATAGTCACTTGCCACGGAAAAAAGTCTGGTGGGGCCTCTGTGTGAAGTGGACAAAAGCCTCTTCTGAAATCTCTCCAATTGTTCTTTTCGCCCCGACAGGCTACAGAATAACGTCCATGTTTTGCTCTGGATCGTCCCACCCTTCCAGAGGAAAGGCAATGGCTGCAGCGGAGTTAGCTGAGGTATGGGATTTTCACGGAGCTGGTGGTGGGTTCTGGCTGGAGGGAGATGGGCAGTAAATGTACAGGAGGGTGGGAGCTGCTGGAGGTGGGAGAGGGCAGGAAATAACCAGGGTGGGGAAAGAGAGAGGACAAACTTGCCAGAATGAATTCGGATTAGGCCCCACATTGAAGGAGCAGCCTCCTGGGGTTTGGGTGTGGAACTTTCCCCTGTTTGTGGAACAGGAAATAACCCCCTGGCCAGGGCTGCAAAAACTTCCCAGACTCCTAGTGCTGCAGCCTGAACCAACAGATACACTTCAGCCACTTTTGGGGGAGGGATAGCTCAGTGGTTTGAGCATTGGCCCACTAAACCCAGGGTTGTGAGTTCAATCCTTGAGGGGGCCATTTAGGGATCTGGGGCAAAAAAAATTGGTCCTGCTAGTGAAGGCAGGGGACTGGACTTGATGACGTTTCAAGGTCTCTTCCAGTTCTATGAGACAGGTATATCTCCATATATTTTATTTTTTATTTACCACTCTCCCAAACTCTGTCTCATCTGCAAACTTCACCAGTGATGATATGTTCTCTTCCAAGTCATTGATAAGCAAGTTAAATAGCAGAGGGCCAATAACCGATCCCTGTGGGACCCCAATAGAAACCCACCCACGTGACCATTTAGAGTTACATTTCAAAATGTGTCAGCTGGTTTTGAATCTAGTTCATGTATGTCATGGTAATTTTGTGTTGATGTAGTTGTTTAAGTATCATGCTGTACCAGGTCAAATACCTTAGAGAAATTAAAGTATATTACATTAACACTATTCCTTTATCGACCGAACTTCTGATCACCTTCAAAAAAAAAAAAAATCCAATTAGTTTGTGAGGATCTGTTTTCCCTAAATTGTTGTTGATTGGAATGAATTATATTACCCTCTTTTAATTCTTTATTAATATTCCCCCTCTTTCCCCGCATTATCTTGCCCATGTTCGATGTCAGGCCTGTTATCTTGGTCATCCCTTTTACAATTTTTTTTAAATATTGGGGCAACTTTATTGTTGACTTCCAGTCTCCTGGAGTTTCCGCCATGTTCCAAGAGCTCTTGAAAAGCAGCATTAATGGTCCAGAGAGCTCCTCAACCTCCTCAGCCTGCTTTTTTAAAGCTCTTGAATGGAAGATATCTGGAACTGCTGATTTTAAAAATGTCTGACGTTAGTAGCTTCTATTTAACGTCCTCAGGAGTTCTGATTTTAATGAAGAGTGTCATTGTCATAAAAATACCACAACATCATTTGCTTGTTTTCCCCAAATCCAGGAGTGAAATACTCACTGAACATTTTTACTTCTTCTGTATTATTATTGATAATTCTGCCCTTTCTGTCTAGTAATGGACCAGTAACATTGTTAGGATTTTTTTTTTGTTATTGATATACTAAAAAACAAGAACCCTCCTTCATATTTCCTTAATTCTGCTGGCCAGAGAGTTCTCAATTTGTTTCTTTGATTTGCCTTATTAATGTTCTACAATTCCAAACTTCTGACATTTTTTCCTGTCGATTTCCTCTTTCTTCCAGGTGTTTGTTTATATATAATTTTATAGGGGGGGAGATATTGGGATTGCCGCCAGGAGGCTGTCCCTGACCCTGCCGGGGACTCCATTTCCTGTATCAGCTTCTGGTTAGTAGGTGTGTGATGAATATGATGACCCCTGTCCCCACTGGCCAGCGTGAGGGGCTCTCTTTTTCTCCCCTCAACTTGGTGCCTCCTGA